CCGTGGATACCCATTAAGCTATCCAACCCGTGTCCGTGATGGGTTTTACCCACGGGTACGGTTTTTTTCCATCCCTAACCGCCACCATAGCCAATCATTCGGTGGATGTGATCCTCATTGACAACAGAAACTACTGCGACCTCATGTATATGTGAATCCATGTGCTTGCAGGTATAATCATGAAGTGATGATGACATGGTTTAGACGATGCATAATTTTGATGATGACAACACATAAAGACAAACAACTGCTAAAGTTAGCTCAAGCGGTCAAAGATACACAAGGTGGTTGATCAAGCTATGCTTCAAAATCAAGCTAAATACATTTGTTTAAAGTAAACACTATTACCCAAAGACTCTCAAGTGAAGACTTAGGGTTCATGATCACCTGTGATTTAAACTTTCAAGATCTTAGATGATGGCAACTAACATGGAAGACTCAAGGTTTTTGTATGATGCTAAAGTCAAAGATAATGTCAAGACTTGGAGCTTTAGCATATGAAAGAGAGAAAGTATGGAAGTTTGCCTCATCGTGTGTGTCTGAGTGATCATTATATTATAAATACACAAAGTCGTTTTTAGAAATATTATGGCTAAATCATGCACTTACTTAAATCATTGAGAAGCCTATCATTTTTTTAACTAAAATAACCAAAAAATATTTTTGGATTCTAGCCATTTGATTATGGGTCTGTCTGATTCAATAAAGAAACTTTTTCAAAGTTTTCTAATCATTAGTTTTATATTCTAATCAACTAAATGATGCATAATCAGTTGGGTCATTTAATTGGTCCATGAATTATTTCCAAATTTACACCATTTCTTGACATATAAATAGAGAGTTTCTCTATCATTTCAAATCATTCATAAAATGTGAAAACCTCACTTTTCATTTTTATCATAATATCTCTAAATTATTCTCACTTTCCTCACATATTTTAGCAATAGTCCTTTGATAGTGTTCTTGAATTTAGTGAGGATTTTATTTTGGGTGAAGGTTAACTATAAATTTACCGAGAGTAGAATTTTCTATTGAGTATGTAACTCTTCCTAAGGAAGTTATTATTTTGATTAAGAGTTAAACCATTGCAAAAACTCTTGTTTATGTTTGGAGATTAGTATAAGTCTTTGTTTGGTTTGTGAGCATCGCCATTAAATAAAACTCTCTTTTGGGTTCATGAAGATCAACCAGTGAAAAATCTTCACAATAATTTTTGAGCTCAACCCGTTCAAAAATCTATTGGTTTGAGATCAACCTAGTATAAAATTTCACCCAGTTTTTGAGTTCAGTCCGGTTAAAAGCTCGGTAAGTTTGAGATCATCCTTGTGAAAATCTCAGTTTAGTTTGTGGTTAGCCCGTATAAAACCTCGATTTGGTTTGTAGGATAGCCAACTTAAAACTCCGTATTGATTCGAGATCAGACTATGCAAAATCCCTCTTTGGTTTGAAGACTAACTGCTTTAAACCGTGTTCACTATTTTTGGTGTAAAGATTAACCGCTTCATCCAAAGTTTGTTGTTTGGTTAGAAGTAAGCCTGAAACTACATGTCCTTGCTTTGAATTTCACATGCATCCTTATCAAACATTTTTGATAAAATGTTTTCAAACTCTTCTTTTGAAAATGATTTTGTTTTGAATCAATTATTTTCAAACCTCTAGAATTCACCCCCCCTCTTATGTATTGAGTCACATGTCCAACAATATCTTGTAATATTTAGGGAGTTATGGTTACATATGCAAGGTTTGAATCCATGTGAAGGCAATAACCTATTAGCATTCAATGACTCATCAACTCAATCATGTGGGAAGATTGATCTACACATTTTTTTCTGTTAGAGGGAAGGCCATGAGGACCGTATACATTGTTTTCTTCGTGGTTCCTTGTGAAAGTGTCTACAATGATATTCTTGGAAGACCATTCCTAGCAAAGCTAAATTTCATAGCCTCTCTAGTACATTTGAAGATGTCGTACCATAATGATGCAGGTCAGTTGGTCCTTGTTAAAGCCTATTTGTGTGGAGCTCATCTTTTATACGAGGCAATGCTAAATAATTCTCTGGATATTATGGTTGTCCCTAGAGAAAAGAGGGAAAAATCGACAAGGTAACCAGCATAGTCAATCTCGATGTGCGGGAGGATAAAACACCGTAGGCCGTTAAGCTAGGCATGTCGATCGGGGGAAAGATGAAGACCTTGAGGCCTATATTGGACGAACAGTCCAAATTTGTTAAACTTGACAATAACCCGATACAATTAGTTTAAGTAGGTTTTGATTTACCAATCGAGGTAAATAAAGGACTCCTTGAGTGCCTGATGGCCAAAGTCGACCTTTTTGAAATTTCTCCCTACAAAAGTTCATGCATTTAGCAAAGTGTAGCGTGCCATCAATTAAATATTAATCCTTGTGACCAGTATGTGTCCTAGTGTAAGAGGCATCAATTGCATAAAAAGGCTGAAGCAACCATGAAAACAATTTAGGTTTTACTCAACACCAACTTTAACTTCAAAGGTAACTATACTAAATGGCTCTCAAATGTCGTGTTGGTAAAGAAGACTTTTTGGAAGTGAAGAATGTGTGTTGATTACAAAAATCTCAACCGAGCATACCCCAAAGACTCATACCCCCTTCCAAATATAAATAAGCTGATGGACAATTAAGTTGGATATAAGTTTTTGTCAATCATGGATGCGTATTCCAGATATAACCAAATTCCTAATTTATGAGTCAAATATGGAGAAAAAACCTTTATGACCAAAAAAGCAAATACTAATACAACATGATGGCTTTTAACCTATAAAAAGTAGGAGCAACATACTAGAGAATGATGAACAAGGTCTTAAGGGAAGAAATATGCAAAACGTTGGAATTATACATGGGCAATATGATCGTCAAGTGTGTTTTACTCTAAAATTTTCCCTCCTAATTATACTTTTATCTGGCTTATGTTCCTTATTTCATATGCATCATTTCATTAGGTCATTGGCATACCACACATTCATTCATTGAATAAGGCACTTGGGGGGTTCATTTGATCAGTGTACATGTGATGGTTTAAGGTTTCTACATCATGTAAGCATGATTCATCTTGTTCTTCTTTGAGCATGGATTGTGGAATTATGGTTTTAGTTTATGGATATTGTGGACTTCTTTCTCATCAAGCTACAATTCTATTCTCCATCAAGATTCACCAAGATCAATAATTAGGGTTTTCATTTGTGATTCTTAAGGTTTCATCAAGATATTTCAACTGAGAATCCTATGAATTAGGGTTTGATTCCATGGCTATCTTGAGCATCATTTACTCAACATTTCAAGTGTGATTATCATCCAAGTCTTTCTCCTAACTTCTTGGTTTGCTGAAGTCAAGATCATTGGTTTTCTTTGCATGAATTCAAGGGTGTGTACTTGGGCTCAAGATCTTATTTGTGGCTTTTTATCAAGAATTATCACACTGTGTATTGAGATTTTATGGAAGCCATCTTTCATCAGTCAAAAGAAGCATTGTGTTGCTTAAACTACAAGACATGGGCTATGGATTTTGAACAAGAAAAAGAGGATGGATTAATCTATCCATTACTCAGACAATTAGGGTTTTTAAAGCATGACTTCTATTGAACCTTGACTTAGGGTACAAAGCATTATGAACCATTGATACAATAACTTGGCACGAGTATGAATTAGGGTTTCCAAAGATTAAGCATGGCACAAATGTATTTTGACTCAACTTCTTGGGGAAGTAGGAGATATCATGTAAACTTGGATTCAAAGGTACCACATGATCTTTGACTTTGGTCAAAGTCAAATTTGTAAAGTTGACTTTTTGACCAAAGTTATACATGGTTCATGGTACTGGATTTCAATCTTTAACATGGCAAATATGGATAAAACATTATCAATATATCTTCATGGCATTAAGCAAGATCCAAGATTTTCAAGACAAGTCCATGAAATCAACAAGATTCATTCATCTAAAGTTTTTCAAGACAAGTTCATTCAATATTGTTCAAGTTCCATCAAATTACATCCATGACTTTATTCAAGTACCAAACCAATTCAAACAAGGTTCATCAATAACATTCAAAATTCATATTCATTATATCAAACAAGTTTCATCAAATTCCATTAAACTACATTCACATTCATTTAAATATCAAACAAGTTACAATCCCTCATTCATCTACATTTCAGGCAATCACACAAAAAGAAAAGGTTTCATCAAGACATGTTTAATATAAGGTTCCTAAGGTGCTAAAACTAAAGGTTCATGCCACCATGGGATCCATGTTGTCATATTTGTTCAAGCTTCATGAATCATGCCTTGCCTTCATCACATTATCAGCCTAACACCATGCCATAACCATTTCCAAAGTTGTACCAACCATCTGCCAAACCAGAAGGAAAACATGTCCACACACATCTAGACCTGCAACAAAGACAGCCAGAAGATCAAAGCAAAACTTCATAAAAAACCTTGTACATGCTCACTTAAGCAGGAAAGTTAGAAAAAAAGTCGAATCAAAAGCTCACTTATCATAGAATCCATGAATATTTTGCTCAGGCCCTCAACACCATTTATCCGCCCTGCCTACATTCCATTTACAACAAAATCAGCTCAACATCATTTAACACAAATCAAAAAATAAAATCGGGGCACATGAGAACCAACATCATTTAACATAAAAAAGCAAGCTAAGTAAAATACAGAAAATCAGAACAATACTGAAGCCAACAAATTCAGACGCGTGAAACCATTGAACACTCTCCATACAACTCAGATCTAAACTTACTTTCACTCATCGATAAACTCATTGAGTTGAACAATATCAGACTGAGTTAACAACTTAATTCATTAAGTCAAGTGTAACTGAATCGGAAGGTAGCATAACTAACTCCATTCCTCCCAATCCTCACTCCAATCCAGCTAAACCGATCCAAACCTTACTCTGAAGCTAGATCTAAGCCTAAATCATCCTGGGCCTAACCACTATAAGTATAACTTTCATCTCATATTCAACCTTACCCACCATTCTTCACCAATTTTCAAAACTTCATTCTCCACCACTCTCAAATTCCCTCTGAGTGTTCTGCAACTCTCAACCTCTCTCTTCATCACCTTCTCCACTCGTATCATTCCCTCTCTGCATCCTCTCACCACCTTCAGTTTTATGTTTTTAGCTTTCTTCTGATTTGGTAAGATGTAGCGAGTTACAAGCATAATTGGTGAACACAAAGAGGAGATTTGGAAGCAGGAGAAGCAGACAAAGCTAGTGGTATATTTGTTTTGTAATTCTGAACTTTACACTACCGCGACCGCCACTGTAGGGCGTGCTGGTGCGGCGGCAACGATATGAAGTTGAAAGAAGCAAGATGAGAGAGAGGGAAGAGATCTTTCAAATATATTCCAACAACCACATCAAACGTGACATTTCACTCGTTTGCATCCCTTGTTAATTTCCTTTTTTATTATTTTCTTTTAATAATTGGTAATAAAAAACTGAAAAATAGTATGTTGAGTTGAATAATTGGATTGTATTGGTCATTGTGTTGAGCATTGGACACGTTGTGTGAAACTTCTTTGAAGCTTATACCAAAGGAAAAATCCAACTCTAGACCTTCACTGCATGGACCTGGCGCCTGAACTACTGAGCACATTACCAGATTCAACATGCACCCCTTGACTTCTTCATTTGATATTATTTTCCTTTTTTAGTTTTAATCACAATTTTTAATAAAAGATAATAATAAAACAAAATAAATAAATAAAATAGATTCTTGGTGATTTTATTTTAGGAATTAATTAGTTCTTTTTTCTTTTTAATTCTTTTATCATCTTTGATCAATTTTAGTCACTTTTTTGTATATGATTTGTCATTATCTTTGATGCAAATTGTGATGAATTTTGGTTAGTAATTGATGCTTGATGTTTACTTGTTTTTTACCTATAATTTGAGCTTTTGATGCATGTATCCTTAGGTTGGGTTTTTGATTCAATTTAATAAAAGTCTTTGGCTTAATTAAATTGAATTAAAACATATTTTTTAAGTCATTTACCAAATCTTTTGCATGATAATTTAGGGTAGAATCTTCCTTGAAAACCAAATCTCAGGACCACTTTACATGATAACATTAAGTTATAATTTCCATTTTTTTCTTTCATTTGTGCGCAAAAAAAAATAAAAATATCTTTTCTTAAGAAAATTCACAAACACTTAAAAACCACAGTGCGGATCATATGCCATTGAGTCTTAAGAAATAGAAAAGAATGAAAAGGTGTATTCTTAACATTGTTCTTATTTAATTCATAGACTTTAGTACGATTCAAATCACGAACAATTTCACAAACAAAGGTGGAAAAAGTAGCTAAATGTCTCCTGTATCGGGGACTATTTACTATCTAGTCCCATGACAAAATACTCCAACAAATCAAGCCTTTTTTCCGTAGGGCTTTTCAACTCAAACTCTTTTCAGAAACGACATGTTATTTTCGTTCTACCGCAACGCAACGCATAAGTCTCCACATAACGAGCGACAATATTAACTGTGAGAATGCAAATATAACATATTTTACTAAAAACAACCAACAAACATCCATTTTATATACAAACTACAGAGCTCTGATTTCCTTATTGCACCATGAGGATACTAGGCACAAAGTTTCGAAACCAATGAGAGCACCCTAATTTAAAACTTATTTTTTCCCCTTTATCATTCATAGTAAGTAAATCTTTAGATAACAACACACTTAGAAACAAACAAAAAAGTGGATCCCGTTGAGTACAACAGATGTAAGGGGTGCTAATACAATCCCCTTGCATAACCGACTTCCGAACCAGAATTTGGTTGCGAGACAATTTTCTTTACCTTTTGGAGTTTTCACGATGTTTTCCTTTCCCTTTGAGATAAATAAAGTTCGATGGAGACTTTTTGTTTTTTTGTATAGCGATAAAGTGCAGCGAAGAATAACTACATGATGAACATCTCTCTCGTGAGTTCAAGAGAGTCCAACAATACAACTTGAGGCTTAATCTTGAGAAGTTTACCTTTGAAGTCAAAGTTGGATATTTTCTAGATTTTTATTTGACAAAGAGAGACATAAAGATAAACCTAAATAAATGGGAAGCAATTATCTAAATGGTGGAACCAACCACAAAGAAGGACGTCATGAGACTGAATTGAATGCTAACGACTCTCACTAGGTTCATCTCAAAGTTAGCCAAACACGGCCTACCATTCTATAAACTGTTAAAAAGGAGCATACTTGAAAATAACCTTAACAACTCCACTAGTATTGTCTAGACCTTACACTGGGGATACCTTATTCCTTTAATTGGTTGTTTTTGGTTAAGCAATTAATGTCGTCCTCATACGAGATACGAATTCAATTAAGAGCCCAATTTAATTAATCTCCTAGGCACTGGCCGAACCATAAGTATAATATCAAAAGATAGAGAAAATGATATTGGCATTGGTGACCGCGTCTAAGAGACTGCAACAATATTTTCTGGCTCATACCGTCATAATTCAAACTAGATTTGTCTATTAGTTTCCATCTCCAAAACTCCATAGTTTTCTTGAGTTTTATTCATGGATGGACATTTTTCGATCAGGTAAGTTGTTGTAGCAACAACCTTATTCCATAAAGTCTTTGGCAACCAAACTCCTAGCAACATGCACCTTACCCTCACTAAAATGGTTCTTTTCATGTGTTCAAATGGGCTATTTAGTTTAGTAGTGCCAATAACAATTCTATGCATATTTATACTTTGTTTTCTACAAAACTCATTCAATTTATCTGAAACAAACTTCATTTTGTTGTTAGTTATTCTTTTATTAACATATGACCTAAACTCAAATTCCATAGCTCAGTTTTGTCATGAAATTCTTTACTAGCTAATGATGCATGACCAGTAACAGTGGAACCATCTAAAAATAATAATCCACACATCATAGACCTTTTAACCATGATCCATGAATCATGCAGAGTTTTCAACACCTCATGTTCAACTCTTGTGCAATAGCCTAAACCATCAGACATGCTTATGGACAAAAAAATATCCTAAGCTCGAGAACATACATATGTTATGTAGAAGGAACTCATAGTCATCGAACCTTTCAAGTCTAACTATTTCAATGCCATGAAATTTTCAAGACTTTTTGTTACCACGTCGGACAACCCCACCTTTTTTCATCTCTAAAGTATCAAAGTATTCTTTCCTTGGTCACATGTGATATTAGCATCACAAGGAAATGGCTCAACTCTTCTTTGTCTCCAATCTCCTAACTATTGGTACATCAACACTCCCATCCTTATTTGAGACAACCACAACCTAAACAGAATCATCATTGCCCCCTCTTGGGGCAATCCTTCTTGAAATGAACAATTTTATGACAAATAAAGCATTTCAACTTTGAATTATCAAAATTCTTAGAGTTGAACTTCCCTCTTCTCTCACACATTTATTTTGAGACACTCAAACATTCACTATTATCGTCTAAGTTAAAATCTTTCATCTTTGATAACTCGTTAGACCTTATAATAGATTGGTCATATAAAATAATTCAAATTTGACCCAAATCTCCACCATAGTCTTCTCGATGACAACTTCTTTTATGAAGACTTTATCTTCAAGGCACAAGATAATTGCATTTATGGCCTTATCCCTTATTTTGATTTTCTTAATTTATTTTAAGCTTACATACATTAGTTTTCCACCCTTTAATGTTTGTGCACACTTTTATTGACTATTACTAGTTTGCTAAAGATACATAAATGACGGATATTGTCGCACCATGTAGATTTGATTACACACGTATCATTTTTAATCCTTGTGGTTGAAGACAAGACACAAAAGAAAGACATTCAAAAAATCTATTACAAGAAAAGAGAATTAGAAATTCTTGGAATTAATTTTTTATCACTATTCTTTGAATTAATTCTTGGTTTGATCTACAAATTTTAGATTTGTTCATTTTTTAATTTACTTGGAGAATTTAGTTTTAGTTAGGATTGCAATTTGTTTCACTTTATCTTATTGAATTCCCAATAACAATTATAAACAGAAGTTTTTTTTTCCTTTTCTTTCTTTACTACATTCACATGAAACAAACATGATGTAAAGAAAGCACTGTCAATCACTGTTTATTCAAAAGGTAAAAGGTTCAAAACACACAAGAGGATTCCACTACTGATCTCCCAATATACACGCACCATCCTAGTGATTTCCAATAAATACCAACATATATCTTGAGTAACATAGCACATAAACACAACAACAAAACACAATCACCCCCCAAAAAACCATGATGTTTTCTTCTCCAAGAGAAATGCCTTCACCATCTTCAATTTTCTCAGCTTATGCATCCATGACAGCTTCCATCATGCTACTTCGTTCAATGGCACAAGAACTCATTCCTCAACCAATTCGAGGCTATCTTTTCAACGCCTTCCGCTACCTCATAAAACCGCGCTCCCCTACACTCACACTCATCATAGAAGAATCAACAGGCATAACACGTAACCAAGTCTATGATGCTGCAGAATCTTATCTCTCAACAAGAGTCACTCCTGAAAACGAAAGACTCAAAGTCAGCAAAGTCCCAAAAGAGAAAAAACTCACAATCCGGTTAGAAAAAGGCGAGAAATTAACGGATACATATAACGGCTTTACTCTCAAATGGAGATTCATTTGTGCTGAAACTGAGAAAAACAGCGCAAACGATATTCACAACAGTAATAACAGTATATCCGTTAGATCAGAAAAACGATATTTTGAGCTGAGTTTTCACAAAAAGTATAAAGAAATAGTTCTTGATTCTTATCTTCCTTTCATTCTTGAAAAAGCTGAAGAAATGAAAGATGAAGAAAGGGTGTTAAAAATGCATACATTAAACACCGCTTATTGTTACAGTAGTGTGAAATGGGACTCTATAAACCTTGAACACCCTTCAACATTTGAAACCCTAGCTATGGAACCTGAAATGAAAAATGCTATTATAGAAGATTTGAACATGTTTGTGAAGAGGAAAGATTTTTATAAGAAAGTTGGAAGAGCATGGAAGCGTGGTTATTTGTTGTATGGTCCTCCTGGTACTGGAAAATCTAGTTTGATTGCTGCCATGGCTAACTATTTGAAGTTTGATATCTTTGATCTTCAACTTGGAAACATTGTTAGAGATTCGGATCTTAGAAAGTTGCTTCTTGCTACGGCTAATAGA